ATTAAGAAATATTATTTTCAATTGAAAATAACTGTTTTCTATTTTAATATATTTTAAAATGTCAATTATTCCTATGAGGCAAATCTGAATTTTCAGCATCATTAATCCAGTCCAGTGTCACATGAAATCATTATAATATGGTGATTTGCTGCTCAAGACACATTTCTTATTATTATCGATGTTGAAACCAGCTATGCTGCTTAATATTTTTATGAGACATAAAACAATAATAATATTAATAATAATAATAATAATACATCCTTGCTGAATAAAATTAATAATTATTAAGTGACAAAAAAAATAAAAAAATAAAATAAACTTACCGACCCTAACATTTTGAGTGTTAGTTAATTTATATACAAGTAACTGCATTTTTTATTATATTATTTTATATTATTATAATATATAATTAATATAAGAATATTTTATATTATTTAAGTTAATTTTATATACATTTAATTTCATAAATTATTTTTCATGATTATGTTTGAAAACAAGTGAAATCCAATGCAATTTAAGTAAAATGATCATATTTTAAGGATGTGTTGGTATTTTGTAGTAGGAAAAAAAAAAGACAAAAATACTGATTATGAACATTTTGCATTGAACCTTCAGAAATCCATGTCTTATAAATCCTTGGAGATTTCTGTAAGACCTCATTTTCTGAAGTCTTATTAATGTCCCCTCTGCTAGAGAAATCATTCATGTCAATTCATTATTTTATAAGATTATATCAAGATTAATATAAACGATGAAGTGGAAAAACCCACCAGTGGTCATTGTGTTCTGGTGCTGGTCTTTGGCCTTGCAGCAGCTGTGTTCTAATTAAAGCTGCTTCACTTGAGTGGTTTATATTTATATTTTATTGGGACCTTTCGCCTCTCATGATATACACAGAGTGCAAATCAACCCCTGGGCATATCATTTATAAACATCTTTTAATTGCCTCATTTATATCTAAAAGGCAAAATGTATAATAGCATGCGAAGGGTAGTGTATTGGGAAATGTAAACCATAAGCATTTTGAGATATTTTTTATCACTCTGAACTCAGATGTAAAGATAGTGAAGAATGAATTTCCATTCACTGGCAGCAGAAGACAGGAGATTGCACAATTATGTGTGTTCAAACACTAAAAATGCTTTTAAACCCGAGACACATTTCTGTTTCACTTAAAACATGCAAAATACTAATGCACTTTGAGGTAAAGCAGTGAAATAAATGGTATTGATTAAAGATATCTTTGGAAAACAGAAAAGATGACACTACCTCGCTCATTTGCACAGTAACAGACTCTAGCTTTTAAACTGTCATGTCTGGCATGCCCTGATATCAGAAAGAAACGTCTACGTGCAACGTTTCCCACAGCTAACACAACAAAGCGCTTTCATGTTGTCTTCAGACAAAACGAGGTTTAGTTAGCGAGGTTTGAATCGAATGCTGTTTAACCCCTCAGAAGACAGATTAGCCCAGAGACAGTCCATTCATCATTCTTCTTATTCGTAACGCAATCCCATAAGGACCAAACCACAGGCACCTTCTGGAACAGCAATAGTCCTTGGGAGTGTTTTTACAAGTTTGGATTCCCAGTCGTGCATTTTACTGCTATTGCAGCGAAAGATTTGATGCATATCCGCTCCCCTCCATAAAAGCTTGTAGCGTGAATAACTGGCTTGGATTTGATTGAAAGAATAACATTTATATTGAAAGCATATCACTTCCCACTAATATTAATCAAGAGTGCCATCATAAATATTAGGAAAGTAGCACATACCTACATGCACTGGTGGGCAAGCTACACAAAAAATTTAGTCAGTAACTACTGTATACTACAGAAATTTTGTCTGCCCAACAATTTGAATGCATGCAAGGATGCATGCTTTCAAATGATTGTATATATCTGTTACTGTTTTACAAAGACTTGCTAACTCAGGATGCACTCCAAACAATTCAGTGTGTGAGCCATTTGAGAGTCAATTGCAAATCTAAGCTATTTGACTAAGATATTAAAAAGAACAACTTAAAATAGTGGTTAATCCACAAACTGAGTATTGTTAGTTCTGATTCTCAACTGAAAAACCAATTCAAAACATTTTTTCTAAACCATTTGACCAATTAATTGAAAAGAAACGGCTCAAAATAGTGATTTATTTACAAATCAAGTATTACGAGTTTAGATTCTACACCAAATTGCAAACTGATTCAGAACATGTTGTTAATCTCAAATTATATCAAATCTCAAATTATTGAAACAACCAACTCAAAATAGTGATTCCTTCACAAATCAAGCATCACTAATTCAGATACTAAATTGAACAAATGGGTTAGCAAACTGTTCTGAATTGTTTTGCAATTCAATTCACTGATAACAACCAACTCATAGTGATTCATTCATAGGGTTCATTCATAGAATCGATATCGAATCGACGTCATTTAAAAAAAACTATTAATCGAAAAATCGATTTTTTTTTTTGCCCAGCCCTATTCATTCATCAACTGAGTATGGCTAATTCTAATTCTAAACAGAACTCCAAACTGGTTCAGAACACCTTGCTAATCCTTTTGAGCAATTCAGTGAAAAGAACTGACTCTAAAAAGTGGTTTTGTGATTTGAGACACTAGATCAGATTCTAAATTGGTTTACAATTCAGTGCATTAGCTGCGTTTCCATTACCCATGGAAACACATAAATATAACCCCCCCCCCCC